GAGGGGTGGAAAATGGCTGCGGACCACGTGTCATGGGCAGGAAAATGGCCGCGGCCCACGTGTCACGGGTGGGAAAATGGCCGTGGACCACGTGTCACGGGTGGAAAAATGGCCGTGGACCACGTGTCATGGGTGGAAAAATGGCCGCGGACCATGTGTCACGGGCAGGAAAATGGCGCGGACCACGTGTCACGGGCGGGAAAATGGCCACGGACCATGTGTCAGGGGTGGAAAAATGGCCGCGGACCATGTGTCACGGGCGGGAAAATGGCCACGGACCACGTGTCACAGGAGGGAAAATGGCTGCGGGCCACGTTTCAGGGGCAGGAAAATGGCCACGGACCACATGTCAGGGCAGAAAATGGCCGCGGACCACGTGTCACAGGCGGGAAAATGGCCACAGATCCTGTTCGTCACCCGAGGTGGAGTTCGCAAACCGAAGCAAATTTTTGCAGCCGGAGCTGGTCGTAACCCGAAACGTTCATTAACAGAAGCATTTGTAACCCGAGGTACCACTGTACTTAGGAACCTCCCTTCATTACAGTTGAAAACCATTGGCAACCCAACACTTACAGGATGGGAACAGCAGGAAAAAAATTACATTTTTTCCTTTTGCCTGTCTGAGTTTGTGTTCATTTATTCAATAAAACCAAATAGGTGGGTGAAACTATTGCATGTGAACCTATCTTAAAACCCCATTAGTCACAATGTGGGTGGGGGGATGATACACCTTGAGAAACAATCTTTTGTGGGAGAAGCAAGGGATTCCCTCATATTGTACACAAGATTTATCTCTTGAATGCCACCCAAGTAAGTGACATTCTTTGCATAGATTAGAGCGGACCTCCCATTATGTTCTCCAAATCCTCTCCAAACTATTATCTTAATTTACTCTTACAGAGCAGCAGCACTTGCATTAGTAACTTGATAGAATGCCTCATTTACCACTTAGAATGTAATTGCAACTCTTCTTTGGCTTCTCCTAGCCCCTGGTAAAAATTGTATTAAGTCATGGCACTACAGCCTTGAACAGCAACAACATATAGATCGCTTGACACTGCACATAAAAGCCTCTGGCCTCTTTTATATTTGTGATAATAAAACTTACAAAGCCTTGCCCCTGGATTGGATGGTTATACCCAAATATTTCCCTAGTCTGGGAGCTAACTGCAGACCAAGTCCTAACTCGGGGACTTTTACCCATAGAGTATGAAAACAATGTATGTTAAGGTTCCCATATTAGAAACTCAAAAAACAGGATTTCACAAATTCATTAGAGCTATTTTCCCTGGATTGGGAGTTTCAAAAATAAATCTAAAGTAAATAAATTAGATTTATGCTAATTTGTTTTTAATGCCTCCCTTGATTCCACAGAAAACCTTCAGGCTGAAATGTCTGGTGGTATTTCAAAAGGTGATATTGCAAAATTGTAGAAGTCTTAGATTTACTGACAGGGGCTCAAAGGGGTCGTGTGCCCTGTTACAAGAGCAGTGATGTTTTTACATAGACAAAAGTGGGAACATAGAAATAGAATGCTCAAATTCTAAAGAACGCTATAATATTTTTTCATGAAGCTACAAACACCACCACTGACAGCATATGGAATTTTTCATGGCTTACTCTTCCCTAACTTGGGGACAAGGGGGAACATCCTTTTGAAATAGATTAAAATAATTATCTTCCTATTAAGCACAGTCGTCTTGGCTTTCTGCTATGGAAATTGTGTAATGACCACACTTCACAAAAAATTTAAAAACAGGCAATGTAGAATTCCAAAGTGAGAATTTTGAACTTTATACAAGCAAATGAGCAAGAAATAAGTTTACAACTATTCCAATAAAAATAAATACATAAGCACCACAACAGTAGAGCTAATGAAGATGCTAGAACACTTTGTTGCTCTAAAGGGTGAAATCTGTAGTGGGAAGATGGTGTTAGGATAGACAAGTACATCACCCACATACTTGTTTAACTCGATAAGCCATCCTATTTGTATTGCTGCCATCATTACCTCACCATCCTGACTTCATTAACACACACACACTACTAAAATCCAATCAATGATTCTGTCATACTGTTTAAATGTATATTGTCATTTGCATAACTCTATACCCAGGCCTGGCTAGGTTGAGATAAGGAAGCATATTATGATAATGGTTCTGATAAGTGTTTTGCAAGTTTTTATCTTGTCCCAGTGCTTTTATTTAACATTTGTGTGATGGACTAGAGGAAGTCATATAGAATTTTGTTCAAAGAGGGTCAGTAACGTAGATGATTGATGCTTTAGCTTTAGAGGAAACTAGAGTTTTAGTCCAAAAGATATAGAAGGCATCAGGTTGAAGAAGGCTGATATTGAAGAAGGCTGCAGTGCTAATTTTTTCACAGATGAAGAATTAAGAATCTTTGCATATCCATCCATCCATCCACCCTGCCATTCTACTCAGCTGAATACAGAGGATCATATATACATCCAAGAAGAAATAACTCACAACAAAGGATAGACAAAAGAGGAAGCTATTACTTTCAAAATGCTTATGCAAATGTATATGCATAGATTCAGAAGTAATGACTACTGCTTAAATAGAGTTATAAGATATCAGTATGATCATAGATGGGACGACCAGGTGAGCTGTGTACATGCCTACTCAGTTTGTCATTCAAGTGCTAAATATTGACACACAGTTACAGACCCTCTGGCTTCTTTCCATTATGAGTCTTTTTCTTTAAGCCAGACTGCAACTGGACAGTACTTCAAGCAGAGGACTGTCCTCTGTAAATTAGGCCACACAGCCATCCTGAACAGGTCTAAACATGTCAGCTGGGAGCAGAGGGAGCAAATGACAAATTGTACTCGTGTGCAACAACATGACACAAGTATGAAAGGGCAGAGCTTGCATCATGAGGTTGCAATGGACATTTCATCATTTTGGCATCATCATGGTCAAGCATGGACCCTTAGGAACAGATCATGCTAAAAAGAACCAAAACCTATCTAACACTCAATACACACTCATCTCTAATGAGCTGTGTCAAGGGAGGTCCCTGGCCAAAATACTTTTTCAACCAAGCTGCTGTGAAGTTAAGACATGACAAGACGGCAAGGCACTTTACTCAGAGGAAAACATGGTTGAAATTGACTCATAACAATCACTGCAGTCAGATTATTGTATGCCCAAAGAAGGAAAGATTCAGCACTACCCACAGGGGAGGAATGGTTGGTGAAGATGATGGAACTTGCTGAGATGGCTAAATTAACTTCTTTGATCAGAGAAAAGACAATATCTACGTTTATTGCTGACTGAAAACCCCTTACAGACTTTTTGAGTGAAACAGGATTTTTTTTTTTTTATGATTTATGGTTTTGATGATTAGACAGGATAGATTATAAAAAGAAGAGTGTTATGTTGTAACCATAGAATAAGAGGTAAGTTTATAACTGTACTTATAACTGCTGTAAAGAAGATTGGAAGCTACTTCTTTGTATTTTTTTTCTTTCTTTTCTATTTTTCTTTTACTTTTTTTTCCTTTCGTGCACTTTTAGCTTTCTCTTTGATTTCTTTCTTTTTCTTTTTCTTACTTTGTATTGGTTTTTACCTTCCTTCTTAATAAACCCTTAATAAAAATTATATACATACATACACACATACATACATATATAGAAATTTACTAAAAATAAATCTGCTCCAACTCAAAGGCTTTAAAACAATGTTTTAAAATATATAAACCTACCAGATAACAAGGTACACAACCTCTTCAGCTACCAAAATCTAGTCAATTTTTTTGTATATGTACCATAGCAGAAATAGCTGCAATAGAGTATGTGCCAATCCACAGACATGGACACATAATATAACCTGAAGTTACATGGTAGAGATATTCCTGCTTAATTCAGCACCTGGATGGAAAAAACATGCAGCTGCCTTAAATTCTCACTGAAGAGAAGTAGTTATAAATGCAGGTCATGTTTCAGATCTTCTCTAAAAAAAACAACAACAACACTAATCGTGACATTCTTTCCCACAAAACTCCAGAAAAAGAAAATGCAGCAAGTGGCAGATCCCAAATGTATCTCATATAATGCTAACACCCTCAGCTTGGTACAAAACCCCATGGCCAAATCACCTGCCTTCATTCAACACACCTGCTAAATAGAACAAATCCCCAGATTGTCTCTGGTTAATTCAGTATCAAAGAGATTCCCCTTGATCTTTTGTGCAGAAGGGTATCTGTCCCTTTTTTCTTTCTCTCTGATTAATACATATACAGATGTAACCTTTTGGGATAGATCTTAGGGCAGAAATCCAGGATCCCCCTAAGCAGAAGGAACAGCAGTCTTCTAAATTTTATTAAAGTATGTTCCATCTCAAGAGGGCCCCCTATAAGATGATGAAGTCCAGAATCTGAAATTACCTAACTGCACCGTTTTTGTTCTTTGTCTTGCCAAGTCAATGCCAAATGCACTTCAAACAAACCAACAAAGCATATAAAAAGTCTGGAAGGGTCTCCCTCTCTCTCTTCCCCCTCCCCAATTCCTCCTCTCCCAAGAAGAGTCCCCTCCTACCTGGAAGTGTGGCTCCTGGAGGATGCGGGCCAGTTCGGCTGCTGTGCTATCTTGCTGAGCAATGTGTGTGATGTCTTTAAGTATCTCCTGGACCAGCTCCAAATTGTTGTCCCGCACGGCTTCCAGCTTTGTCTCCTCCAGCCGCTCGTGAGCCTGCAGGGTGGATGGGGAAAGGGCAAAGAAGAAGGGATTAAAGGACACATAAATAGATAAAGCCATGCTAACCCTTTGTCCTTCCATCACGGCCTTGTGTGATGCTGACAGATAATGTAGGATCGTTATATTCTGTGGGTTCCCTAATAGCTACAAGATCACCACTTTAAGGTTTGTTGGTTGTTTTTTCTTTTCTTTTCTTTTTTAAAAAAAAGCATAAAAGGCTTACAGACATCTCCAAAATTAAACAGCTTTACCCAGTGGGTGCCTGTCAAGTTCTGTCAAGTCTTTCTGAAGACAAAATAAATAAATAAATAAATAAACCAGATCGGCTGTGCACGTTGTAAAGAAAAAGAACCCAAGCAATTACTCTTGTATACGAAAACACACAACCCACTTGCTCAGAAACACAGCAAGGAGAACGCTGAGACAGCTGAGAGCTTTTCCTGGCTCTCGGTGGCATGTAGCCAGAAATCAAACAGGTCTTTGCTGTATGAAAGATGAATAGCTGCTCTAGATAAGCCTCAAGGAGGGAAACAGACACAAAAGAGAAGGAGCTAAAAATAATAGACTTGCAAATAGAGGCTTAGCTTTGCCCATGGAGTCAGCTCAAATGGGGGGAGGGTAAAAAGAGCAGACTTAATATGAATCCGATCTCACTTCTGGGAACCATTTTCTTTGCCAAAACCAGCGCTGGAAAATACTGAAGTGGGACACTGCTGCACTTATTTGACTGAATAAAGACAAATTCCTGATCCTAACCCTTTAATGCTCATGGATTAGGAAACTGGCCACCTAAAATATACGGAGGACATCATTCATGCATTTTGTCAGAACGCTTCCATAGTTTTCAGCAGGGAAATTGTCGGGATGGGTTTAGAGTCTTCTGGGCCTGTGTTTCTCAACCTCAGCAACTTTCATGTATGTAGACTCCAACTCCCAGCTGGGGATTTCTGGGAGTTGGAGTCCACACATCTGAAAGTTGCTGAGGTTGAGAAACACTGTTCTAGGCTAACTGATTTCAATCTCTATGGCCAGGGGGGGGGGGGGGTTATTCTGGGAAGATTTAGGCACTCATGGCCTCTATAGCAACCATGGGCTTATTCCAAGTAATCTCTAGCCTGACTCACAGAGGTAGCCATATGTCAGATCCAGACTTCACCTCAGAGCAGTTGGCATGTCATCTGAAAACAGAAGATGCAGTTGTGAATCCTTTGCAATAGTTGGATCATTTTCTGTCCAGATGAGGATTGTCACCCCTGCTAATATTTGAAGGCTCAAAGGACTAGTTAAAATGGTTCATCCCTGAAGCCTCATGGATCGAGGCAGATTTCAGCAGGCCCTTGGGGATTTCCCCCACAATTCAGCAGATAGCTCCACTGTGTGCCTGATCATATTCTGGAATGGCCTTTCCCTTTTTGCTCATTCTGAGGTGCTGCTTGGTTTACCAGATGAAATGAAGCCCCAGAAGAGGTGCCCGAAGCACCATTAGAGGAAGGCTAGAAGTGAGCTTGACTGAACCTGGGCAAAAGCTCACATCCGAGTCTTCAGTGTGGCTCCCATCCCCCCTTATGGTGGGCTCATTCAGGCAGAGTCTTTTTGACATACTTCTTCCCAGGTTTCTTGCCACCTGGGCTACACTGCCATTTAAGAGATTAGCAGTCAACTGAATCCCTTTCTATCTCTTGATTACTTATGTGTACTCTCCTTTCCACTTCCTCCCCAGCCTCCTCACAACCTCACACAAGTATCTACATGAAGAAGCTGGGAGAGGTCATCCATCGATCCAGAGTGAAGTATCAGGATGCTGATGACACTGAGATATACATTTCTACCCCAGGCTAGGCTAGCAATGCAGGAGGCACCTAGATCTGGTACCTGAAGGCTGCGAAGGGCTAGATGGGAAGGAACAAGCTTAAGTTGAATCCCGGCAAGATGGGTGTTGTTTATCCCAAAACCAAACAGCTTTCTTCCAGCTTTGGTGTAACACTGGGTGGGGTAGCACTCTCCTTCACTCTCCTTAAGGAAACAATGCCACAACTTGGGAGTACTGCTAGACTCAGGGCTACTGCTTGATAGGCAGATGGAGGCTGTGGCTAGGGGCGCCTTTGCAGGCCAGCTTCAGAAGGTGAGTCAGCTGCAGCCCTTTCTGGAGTTGGAAGCCTTGGGGGCAGTAGGCACACACCCTCATTACCTCTGGGATAGACTACTAGAACACAGTCAACTTGGGGCTGTCTTTGAAGACTGCCTAAAAGCTGCAATTGGTGCAAAACAACTTTTACAGCTATGTAACACTGATTCTGTAATGATTACAAACAGGCTTCTGAGTACAATTCAAATCTCTGGTTTTCACCCGTAAAACCCTACCATCTCTTTCAGGTAGAGCTGACCTATCCTGTCTGATCATTCTGAGTACGGACGTTGAGGCCTCTTCCAGGAAATTTGGGGGGGTAGAGGACATGTTTTTCTTTCACTGCTTTCTTCAATCCCTTTGGGACAGCCTGCCCTTAGATTTCCCCCCTTTCCTGACAGTCTTGAGAAAGGCATCCATGTTTTTAATTCTGAATAGTAAGCACTGATGCTGGATAATGGACACCAGGATGGGCTGATGATTTTATTAGTTTTATCAGTGCTTTGCACTTACTTTACTGATTTTATACAGTGGTACTGTAAATCACTGGAAGTCTTCTTAGAGGGGAGCAGTATATAAAATCTGGAAATAATGCATTCTGTGTAGAAGTTTACTATTTTAAAAAATCTTAAAACTGTATTGGAACTAAGTATTTGTACTTAGATTATGTTTCCATATTAAATCCTGAATGCTATCCATATTCAAAACAGTCTAAGTAATTCAGACTGATGGTTAGGTTGAGAATTCCAAACACTCCTTCAAAGACCAGGAATACAGGAACTGCTGCTTGCCTTTCTCCATACATTACTTATCTGGGTGTATTTTTATTTCATTATATTACTTTTCTTATGGGTTCTAATAAGTACAAATCTGGGGAAATTAACTACTGGAATCAAAAGGGCAGGCGTAAATAATGGAAAAAGAAGGAGAGCCAACAACTCCTGTTTTCCAATTGTTTCCTGGGCAGCAGTCTTCCAGTCTGCTTGGAAGCTTTATCTTAGATTTGGAAGTAGAACACTAGTAGCTCTCTAGGTGTTGCTGAACTATAACTCCCAGCAGCCCCAACTAACATTGTTAGTGGCGAGAACTGCTGAAAGTTGTAGTTAGCAACATACTGATGGCCACAAATTCCCATTCTTGCCTTAGTTGTAGTATTGGCAACAAGTTGAGATTCAGAGTTCTCATTTGAGACACAAATGACCAGGCTCAAATTATCCTACTTCAGACACATTATGCAAAGACCCAGCTCCCTGGAAAAGGCTCTAATGCTGGGAAAGGTGGAAGGAAAGAGAAGAAGAGGATGACCAGTAGCAAGGTGGATGGACTCAGTTACAGAGGTGATGGGTACACTATTGGGAGGCTTGAAAGAACAGGAATAGATTGTCATGAAGAAAATCTATTTATGTGGTCATCAAAAACTACTTGATGACACATGATCCATCAATCAATCACGAGCCAACATTCAGAATGGTGGAAGAAGAAGAAGAAAATGACTTATTAAATTTATTATAGCTACCCACTCCCACAGACTCTGGACAGCTTACAACATATACAATTAAAACAAAACATGACAGCATGGCTTAAAAACAACCATAACAAATGACCTTGGCTGCTCTCCAAAAACCTAAGATCTGATTAGTACTTGGCTGGAAGCCCATCAGGAACTCACAGGCTATAGAGTAGACTGAGAAGTTTAAAATAGGCCTCAAAGAAGCCAATGGGAAACCATGTCCATATTGTTGCCAACAAAACAGCATTGATGCAGCTTAGATGTAGCACCCAACCAGGTATTGAGTTCAACTTCAGGGTTACCTTACCTTTTGGGAAAAGTTACAAACAAAAATTCTTATGCTGTTGAAGATACCTGAATAGACCAGAAATAAGTGATGGGACAAGTATTAAAAGGCAGGGCAAGAATCAGTAGTCTTTCATAATATGAAGGAAGGTTTTAGACAAAATTAGGAAGAATTTCCTAAACATAACCGTAATTTCCCAGTGGAGAAGATGACAGGAGATACTGTGGAATCACCAATCTAAGAGGCCATCCAGGATGTTTTAAGTTCAGAAACTCTTATTTAAACATGATTTTAGACATGGACAGGGCATTATAAGTTTTTTCGTTCCGATGAACAGCTTTCTTTCTTTTGTTATTACTTCCCATTTTCCTGGTTGGTCCTGGCACTGAGAATAGATTCTACAGTTGTAAATAGTGATTTTCAAGTAAGCAGTTATCAAAATTAACAATTCTTTTCATAAACAAAGTGAAATGAACTTGAACGAATATAGGGCACACATTCATTCATCAGGAAGGAAGGACAGAGGGAGGGAGGGACAGAGGAGCAGAGGAAATCGTCAACTAAACTATTGGGTAAAATGCATTAGGAATAAGATCAAGAAGGTGTAAGTGATATAGTGGAGGTGAGTGGAACTGAAGATGCAGGCTTTGTTCAGCTACAATCCCTTCCCTAACTACCCATTTAACTGTACCTTAGCCAATGACCTTACTATTGGACTCTCCATGAGGCCACGGAGAAAGATGAGATCCAGATCTCCAGCTCCCATGGAATTGGGGAGGTCACTGAGGTTGTCCAGGACCTGTTGCATAGCTGTGTGGAGAAATGACAGCACTATGATTAGTCTTATTAAAATAAAAACAATGAAAAACAGAGCTAGTCTATTCACCCTAACCTTTCAAGAGACGAAAAACGAGGAGATGAAAAGTAACACATCCTGTATATGTAGAACAGAAGTGAAACCATACTGGCAATGAAAAAAACCGAGAGGGGAAAGAATCCTTAGAAATGTGCATAGGGGGAGGAAGGATTATATCATTTTTATAAATATATGAGATGGCTAAAGAGTCATTCATTCACTTAGTCTCTATCACACACAGACACACAAAAACCGCTTGTGTGCAGTGGCGTGGGGGTCTCTTCCTACAGGTTACCAGTCAAGAGCATTGCCCAGCCCATCTATCAGTGGTACTGAGAAAGAAGGTAATTTAGGATTATCTCTTTTTCACCCAGGGTTTCTTCTCTGCAGCACTTCAGGGTTTTTCAAAGAAATTGGACCTTCACACATGAGCTTCTTTCTTGCAGTTCTTCCCAGAATGATTCTCAAGGATCGCAGGGTCATTCCAAGAACTGGTGCAGAGACAGATGCCTGTGTTTACATTACTATAGTGAATTCCCTTTTGAGGGAAAATCTGAACTTCTGCCTTGCCAATCCCAGTCTTTCACTGATGCATCGTGCTCTTTCTCAAAATTGCATGCTTTTCTAATTAAATTGACTAGCCAAATGAATGAAAACTTAACATTCTTTCTCAGGGTATATGATTGAATATACTTCACCTCAACCTGTTCCCTTAACTTGTGGTGCCAGAAAAAGTCTGCGTGTTCACTGAAGCTATTCCATTAAGCTGCTTTAAGCGGATTTAAGGACAAAGCATGATTTTGTTGTTATCATTTGCTGTGCAATTTGCCTCTGCGTTCTGCATTGGGTCAAGACCACGTACTGAATGCCGCAACAGAAATGGTTGGTGCAACTGATTGCTGAAGTAGAACTAAAGTAATAAAAGACATAGCTCGGTGACTGTAGGGACTTGAATCTTGCTATGAGGATCAAGGTGTAAGGCACAATGAGAGCTAAGTATTCAGAATGTTGCACACTTATTTCTGACCACGCCGATTATGATTATGGCATTCTATTTTACACTGTTTTTCTGATCACCTATTCATTTGGACGAACCTGTTACAGCCCGAACGTTAGGGATTGTTGATTTTCCCGTAAAGCTCTAAGTGACTTTTATAAACCTTGGTTCATTATCAGTGTTCAGAACCAGATGTAGTCAAGCTGCATTTCAGCATGTTATTCAGCCCCCAAAGATATATAGACCATACTGCCTGTATAGGCTGTCTCCCTGAATTTATTTCTTTCCAGCCAATGCTGAATGATTCAAATGGAGATATATCCAAAGCTGGAGGGACAAAGTCTTACGATACCCTACTTCTTTTGGTAGAATTAGGTCAAACTGACATTTCTTCCTTTTATCAACATTTCCAGGGCAGAAGCCAAGGCAAGCAATCCCTTATGCTTCTTCCACATGCAAACAAGCAGCCTTCCTGCACCCTGATTAACGCTGGCAGGGTGCCACAAGTATTTGCCTCATCTCCATTTGACAAATTCATCAATACAGGATTTAATAACTACGATTTTACTCTCAGCCAGTCAACAGGGCAGGAAGTCTTCCAAAGCTGCAAGGGAAATTATGTCAAAAAGCCAGTCACATTTAAAGAGAAGCATTAATCACTAAAGCTCTTCCAATGATGCATCTGTTGCTAATCTCATCTGATTTGTTTCTCTCCGTGAATGTCTACTTGTTCTTAAGAATTGCAAGGGAAACAGCAAAGGCAGTGGAAAGAAAAAAAAAAAAACAGCCAGCAGCTTTAAAAAAACAAAAACACACACACACTTCTGGCAATAAATCAAAATGGTTTTCTTTGCCTATACCAAGTAGTGTTCTTGAGCACCAGTATGTCCATAGACAATTCCCAGAGTGTCCACTAGGCTTCCTGTACCACTTGATTTTTTTCCCCAAAGATTATTTTAATAACAAAAATTAACAGGGAAGTTGGCACGCAGCAAACAAAGCACAAGATTCTGGCATCCTCTTTATTTTGAAGTATGCCTCAGGGCCAAACACGAGCCCCGTAGTCATTCCACCTACATGCATTTCCACCTACCCAGAGAGTAGGAAAGAGCATTTTGTGGGATTAAAGGAGGTGTCAGTAAGCAAATTTATCTGGCCATCTACTGTAGCAGCCATTTTATTGTCAAGGAAACTCCCTCCCTCGCTCCCCTGCCCCAGAGCAAACCTTTTTTGACAGTGCCTGCAACATGCTCTCAACATTTTGAATATGCATTTCAACACAAACTTTTGCCTACTTTTAACTTATACTGTATTTTCTGCCTCTCTTCGGGGGAGAGTTAGAGTATGGAATTATTAAGCCTGTCTTCTCTTGACAGCAGTGCCAGATAGTAAAATCCAGTGATGGACTTTGAAGAAGCAGGATAGGGAGAGTATCGATGCTTTTGAAATTTGGTGTCGGAGAAGACTCCTGAGAATACCGCGGACAGCCAAGAACACAAACCAGCAAATCAACCCAGAGTTCTCCCTCAAGGGACAAATGACCAGACTCAAATTATCCTACTTCAGACACATTATGCAAAGACCTAGATCTCTGGAAAAGGCTCTAATGCTGGGAAAGGTGGAAGGAAAGAGAAGAGGATGACCAGCAGCAAGGTAGATGGACTCAGTTACAGCAGCGATGAGTGCCCCATCAGGAGACTTGAAAGAACAGGTTAGGCATAGATCATCATAGAGAAAATCTATGTGGTCTCTAAGAGTTAACAAGTATGTGATGGTACATAATCAACCAAAGATTGGACCGCTTCAGGCATCAGGGAATCTGTGTCATCTTTTTAAATTTTCTTCTACAGACATCTGGGAGAATGCTGAACAATACACACGTTCTGTGTTCATTTACATTTACTGGAAGGATTGTTTTTCTTTGCAGAGAGAAAGTATACACCAACCCTTGCATCGGAAAACTTTACATTTCATTGGACTGACAGAAACAGCAATAAACAGCTTATAAGAGGTTACGCAATCATCATCAGCATATTAAAAGTCTGGGATCAATAAAAGAAAAAGATCAGCCCACGTTGATCATCTTTCGCCTCAAAAGTCTCACAAAAAGGAAAACACAAAGAGATTTGCTTAGTGGAAAGATAACAAATCACACTGCCTACGTGATTTAATAATTAATAACACAGAGATGAAATATTTTTAATCTTCAGAATGGCCAGAACCACACAAGCCGTTTCAATACCTTCAAATGAGCAATATAGCTTTAAAGAACAGCAAAAACAAGGAGGAACATATAGAGACTTGACTGAATTTGAAAGTCTTGTAAAACAAAATTCAAAGCATTTGCTGGGTCTTATTTATAAACTGTTCATGAAATATGACTCAGAAACCGAACAAATTAAAGACTGTGTGATTAATGGATGCGGAATTTAGATATAATTACACAAAATACTATACTCAGAGAAAAGTGGTATAAAATGTTTTACTACTGGCATATAACTCCAGTACTGATTACTAAAATGGACAGATCATTTTCTAAAAATTATTGGAAATGTAACAACAGGTTGGATTTTTTTCCCCATACTTGGTGGCAAAATGGTAAAGCTCAAACATTTTGGAAAATAAATTATAACAGAATGAAACAAATTCTAAAAGCTGAGTTTCCTTTTTAACCTGTCCTTTTTTATTATATATTACTAAATCTTACTACCTGAAGGGGCTTAAACCATATGACTATTTTATAAATGTATTGGTTCTGCCAAAGAGGAAAAGTAGTAAAGTAAGATCTACATGTGCAAAAAGGGCAAGGGGAGAATGCTACCGACAATGTACTATTCTTAAGCCAAGTCTAAAGCGAATAGTGACTTATTAACTCCAGCTAGATTCTTACCTTAAATCCATTCCAATCTGACCTAGTTTAGGCCAGGGACAAAAATTATAACATGCGATGAGGAACAGAAAGAGATATTCTAACAGACTGCTCTGCAGCTTTTAATACTATGAAGTCCAGCACCCTTTGGACTAAAACTTGGGGACATGCTATAGTGATTCCAACCCTATCTGGAGTTATGAATTTAGAAAATGGTGCTGGAAGACATCTATTTCACCTTATATTCATTGATGTTGAGGTGTTTCAAGGTTCTATTTTGTCTTCTGTGCTTTTTAATCTTCATAAGAAACCATCAAATGAAGAAATTCAGAAAATTAGGTTAAAATATCAAATGTCAGGAAGCTCTACCTCTCATTTCTAACACAGTGCTAGGAATCTGTGGTCTTCTAGATGCTGTTAAATTACAACTCCCAGAAACCCCAACTAACATAAGGAATGGTGAGAAATATTGGGAACTTAAATTCATCACTATCTATAGAACCACATGTTCCTCACCCCTGTCTTAAATGAAATCTTGACAGCAATCCCAGATTGTACTCCTAATTAACTGTTTGTATGATGGCTATTCTCACTGCCAAATTTCCATGGCCCAACACAGATTCATAAAATAACCACAACCTTCTGCCCAGTGTATCATCCCATATTTTCCAAATGGTGTGTATGGAAAGAAACTGAAGAGATTGAAGGACATTGCATTGATTTGGATATGTAGAGTTTCACATAAGCCATTTGCAGGTTGCTCACATAAACCCTTAAAAAAAAACACTATTTACACTGAACATAAGTAGAAGGTTATGGATCACTTGGGATCCTGACAGCCAGAAAGATTCTACTCACATTCAGGTGAAGATAAATATAAGCCCCCTTCAGGCTTTCTCTCTTAACATTTGAAGGTCACATGTTCTAAAGAAGATGGATGAGATTGGGAAGCTGCACAAACTCATTCCTTCTCATTTTTAACCATCTTATAACTGAGCTGAACATCTGGATGGGGTAATACTATATCACAGATACATTTATTATATTAAGAAGGCTTTTGCGTTCGCTTTAAGAGCTGAATGAAGATT